ACACTGGTGTCCTATCCGTTTCTGCTGTCTCTAAAGTTTAGTCATGCCCGGCCGGGCGTGGCTCAGCGGTTGAGCATCGACCTGGGATCCAGGCGATCAGTGGTTCGATTCCTGGTCAGGGCACAGGCCCGGGTTGCGGGTTCGATCAATGACTCTCTCATCATGGATGTTTCTATCTCTTTCTCTCCCTCTCCTTTCCTCTCTCTGAAATCAATAAAGATATATTTTTTAAAAATAATAATAAAGTTTAGTCATTCTAGACAGAGTGGGGCAAATGTAGGTTTACAAGTTGCTCGTACGGAAAATTAACACAACAATTAACAGGATAACACGAGAATAAAGTCTGTGCCTCGCATCCTCACAGCTGTAAACCTCCTTTTGCCAGGCCCCCGGGTGCCATGGGCTGTGCGGCAGAAGGGGGATTAAAGTCGCGGGTGGCATTAGAATTGTCATCTGCCCGCCTGAAAATCGAGAGGTTATCTCGGACCCTCCGAGCGGAGGCGGTGTAATCACCAGGATCCTCAAAAACAGAAGCAGGGGGCAGGAGAGGAGCTGGGGCCAGAGCGATGCGATGTCAGGAAGACTGGACGGGCCGCTGGCTGGCTTTGGAAACGGCGGGGGCCGCAGGCCAAGGAATGCGGGGGGCCGCCTCCAGGAGCTGGAAAAGGGCAAGAAAAGAGAAACCCAGGTGCTCCGCGGGAGGCGGAAAGAAAGCCCTACGGACGCCCTTGAGTGTAGCCCCTGAGACCCACTTTGGGCTGGACTTACAGAACCGTCAGCTAAGAAATGCGGGTTTTTTTGTTTCTTTCTGAATATATGTCTTTATTGATGTGAGAGAGAGGAAGGGAGAGAGAGAGAGAGAGAAACATCAATGATGAGAGTCATTGATCGGCCGCCTCCTGAGCGCCCCCTGCTGGGGATCGAGCCCACAACCCAGGCCTGAGCCCCGACTGGGAATCGAACCTCGATCTCCTGGATCCTAGGTTGACACTCAACCGCTGAGCCACACCAGCCGGCCAGATGTGTTTTGAGTTTGGGTTAATTTGTTACAGCGACCGCAGGAAGCAAATACGGATACGATCGGGTAGTGCCCAGTTAAAAGATGCTCAGAGAAGAAGAGGCCCCTGCCCCTGGCCTGCCCGCACCCCGTCTGCAAGCAGAATCTGGGGTGAGAAGCACGTCCCCTGGCTCCAGCCACTTTATTTGCTCAGTCCGGCTTCCGCTCTCCCTGCCTTCTTTCTGATGACCGCTCCCCGCCGCCCCCCTTTCCCCTGGGAGTCATGAAAGTCAGTTTAACATCCTGGCAAGACTCAGTTGTCTGGAACACCCATCTTCGGGGCGGGTGGGATGCTCGGGTTCTTTTGCTGGATGCCTGGGGCTCCCCCCACCCCAGCTGGAAAGGCTGGGCTCTGTGCCCCTCCCCCAGTGTCAGATGCTGTCCAGATGTAGAGGGGCCGGGCCCTGGGCTGCGGCCACAGGGGGACTCAGTATTGGGGTGG